ACACATATATTTGGCATCTGTGTGGGTTTCAATTTCTTTTTATCTGTAAATCTTTTAATCTGAAAAGCACTTTATGCTTAAGCTTGAAAAGTGCTATTTAAAAAAATAGTTTTACCGTAAAACTTCAATTAAAAGCCCGGGCTATTATTTGCTTAAATAACTGAAATCAATGGGCCTATATTTGGGGCAGGCCTTTAATTCCTTTCACACAAAACTGTTGCTCAGCAAAGATGAGAAATACAATCAAATTGTTTATTTAAACCAGTATGAATATTATTTGTTTAAAAATTAGGCTTCAGAAAATGTATCAATGATGAATCGGTCATTTGATCTAGCTCAGACAGACAGAGCATCAGAGAGATATACGGTAACCGAGGATTACAGCCCCGGCACAACACCACTTTATCCTGTTAAAATAATACTCCATTCGAAAAAATCCATTTTGATTCTTTTGATCTGAGGACCCTTACAGAGTAAAAGAATATCAATAACTTGCAGGGTGATCGAGGAATGGACACATAATTTGAGATAGCAAACAACTAGGTTTTATACATCCGAAAACTTCCAGGCGTCTAATTGAGACAGGCGTTTGTTTGTCAAAATGTGTAGCTACGCCGGGCTAGTAAAAGGGACTAAAAAAGGGAATTATTATCCCCCACAAAACACTGAAGCGTCTCTTTGGACAGTTTTCACTATTTCACATGTTTTCATCAAAGCAATTTAGCTTTAAAAGTAATTCACAAGTAGACAGAAACAAAACCTGGACACAGACTGTGTCCCTGTGATATGAGGCAGTTTTGAACAATTTCAGCAAGTGTGTGTAAAAGCACACACAGTCAAGCTTCCATGTGTTCAGCTGAGTTGATTTTAAGCACCAGGACTGGTCAGGAGGACTTCCTTCAACTGTGACTGCTGATCTTTAACATCTTTGCCACCCTGTTGGCACAGAAAATAAAATAAACTTTCATCAAGCAAAGGATGAAGTTGAGAATTCTACAATGTGATATTTTACTGAATTAAACACTGCAAATATTAAATACTGCAAATATTAAATACTGCAGCAGAAATGCAGCTGCTTTTATACTACAGCACTGCTACAGCTGTTTTTATTGCTTGCACTACTAATTCTGAATATACTACTCGGCTGTCCTCTAATTCATGTGGCCTGTATATTTTGTTCATTGTCGTCATGCTTTGTACCTCTTTCTTCTTCCTTTTGACCAAAGCCTTGATGGCCAGAACAACAAAGCTGATGCAGACACACACCTGGAGAGCAGCCAGGACGATCATAGTCAGGTCTGTGATTGACAACAAACCCTGACACAGACAGGAAATAAAAAAGACAGAATTTAATATGATTCAAAGACGATGTAAAGTTCACTTTAAGATGTGAGTATTAAAGATCTAGTAAGCAGGATTTAGTGGCATCTTTTGGTGAGGCTGAACAACTGAAACTTCTTCCATGTGCAAAGCCTGTGGAAGCAGTGTCTGGTTTGTCTGCTCTGGGCTACTGTACAACAACATGGCAGGCTCCATGAAAGAGGACCACCTCTGAACTTAGTTATAAACAGCTCATTCTGAGGTAACAAAAACACAGTGGGTGTCATTAGTGAAATGTTAGTACACCTATGAGTAGATTTGCACATTAAAAACCTTGGTACTAAACCTACACCAGATTCATGAACGCTGTGGGTAACTCAGATTTATCAAAGGCACGTGTGTACGTTCATGAATGCAAATCAGTCTTAAAGCGACAGCGTGCTCCCGCTAGTCAGCAGTTAGCATACATCCCCGCCCATGAATAACCAGTGGCCGCCACATATGAAGGTGATAATTACTATGGATAGGTACATCCTGTCGAGCTGTGAACATGAAGCAAATAAAGAAAGATGCTGAGATTGAAGTTATTTTACATTTTATTTTCTTCTGTTAAGACCTTTTTTCATCTGAAATTGTTGACTAAAGTCTAAAAATAAAAATGACCTCACGCTGTGTCAATCATGTTTGCACACTGAGTCCAAAACCTTCCGTGCGTCATTAGATTTTTCGGAACAGGTTGGATTTTCTGTGTTTTTCGCATCCGTCTCACCCCTTAGAGACTTTTGACTAACAATCAGTGAAGAAAATGTGGTGGCAGGACACAGCTGCGACAAGACAGAGGAACAGGGTGCACAGAATCATTTCGTAACTCAGACAGCTACTTTCAACAGGTCAGATAGTGATATTCAGGTGGATGATGATGAAGAGGAGGTGGATGTGGACTGCACACAGAAGGTGAAGGACAGCTCTGCGCCTTCATGCAGCTGTGGTGCCAAATGAAAGACAGGGAGGGAGTGGTGACTGCCAGATAGGTAACTCCAGAGGAGAAGGCAAAGGAGGAAATGTGTCTTTTCATTTTGTCTCATGTTGAGAATTCTCGCAACGAATAGAACAATAGAAAGCATCAGAATCAGTGCGCAAGGTGTCTGTGCGTCACGATTGGTTTCGGGTGACGGATTAAAAAAATGCATCAGAAAAAAATGGACTCAGTGTGCAAAGGCCTTTAGCAGGGGTGTGACAGGGACAGGTAAATCAAAGGCCTGAAAGGAGGTTACAGGTGCTGTTAACTCCGGTTCCTCTGTTATAAGAACCATCCAAGAAGTTAAATGAAAATTGTTCGATATGAAACTTGCAAAAAAATGCAAAAAAAATGCACAAGTACACACAAAACAACACAACAGCTACAGGAGGCTCTTCCCACTCACAGTCTCTGCTGCAGACGAGCGCATTGCTTGCATCATACGTCATTCGTCACATCATACGCATAATATGTAGTTTTTTATGACACTTACTGATAATAAGAAAATTACAGCATAAAATCAGCTTCATTTTTTACAAGCATGCTCACCTGGAAACCAAACGCCACATATCTGCAGCTGGAAACAAAGTTTGGATCATTGTTCCGGTACCCGTCACATATCGTTGAGGTAGTGGCAGCTGCCATGTTTCTGGCGTACAGGAAAGCGCCAGCAATGGCTGATATAGAGCTGGCTATGTTCACATCCACAGCAAAGACCACCTGAGAGAAAAGACTTCATTATTCTTCTGACTTCATAGAGCATGTTATTACACAATTTATTTTATTTATAATCTTGTGTTCTTTTCAGATAGGGGATACGTAACACCGCTGGCTTTATCTATAAGGGTTCTTCTGTGTTGATATTTCTTACAGTGTCATTCAGGTGTGAGATGACATTTAGGGAAAAAGCCACAATGCTCACATGATATTTGGCACCTTGTGCACGAGAGGGAGAGTGGGGTGTTAAAACTGTTATGATTGAAAGGAAGCAGAGTGTTCTTTGTTCTTTCAGCTGCATCTCTAATGGATCTAACGTTGAGGCGTGAGTGATGCTTGGCCCCTTTTCTCACAGTGAATCCACAAATTCATTCACAACAGTTTCATCATTTAAAGGGTCTGTATGTGACATCCAGAACATAAACACAGCAGCAAGCCCCTTTTTGTGATGTAGTCCGAGCCAGAGACCGCTCATAGACTGAGACAGCCCACCTTAGATTCATTTCCTGTTTCTGAGTCATGGGTTTTGTCACTGCCCCGCACCAACAGGAGACTAGCAGCAGTCCTGAGTTTATTCATTCCGATGGGAAAAGTGAACATGAGAACAGATTATGACTGATTCTTTCGCCCTACAGTTATCAAAGTAAATATGGGACCCATTTCTCACAAGCCACATGACTTAAGAACATTCTGACAATAAAATGGCATTTACTTAAGAAAGACGAATCAGGAGCAAATTGTGCCAGACATGTTTTTGTCTCAGCAGCCCACTCTCACATCTGACAATAATCTCTTCTCTCTGTGGTGCTGAACCGCCGGCCTGCTTTCAATTTCAAGTCTCAACTCTCTGTATTTTATCTTATAAAGCTGTATCTTAAAGTAACCAGGGTGTTTATTCAGACATGAGACCAGCATGTTATATTCCCATCACCCACAACATAAAAAGGTGCACGTCTGAAAAGGCTTTAAGTCTTTACTCACCATGAAGAGAGAGGGGAACCCACCAGCAAGAAGGGTCATGATTCCAGCTGCGATGAACTGAATAGAGACAGCACAGTGACATCAATTAAAATGAGTAATACTGTATATCGTATTATATATGTTGTTGTTTTTAAATTATGCACAAGAAAGAAAAAGAAAACAAAAACCAGTAATATGTCCATGAATTATTTCTAAGCCGTGTTCGTCTTTAAAATCAGTAGACTTCATTTTCCTTTTAGGAAATCCTCCGGCCATAACAAACTTTTTATATTTGGGGAAGTTCTGGTTATTGTGTCTGTTCTTCTGCCACCATGCTCTATGATCAGGTTAAACAAATGAAATATGTATCTCATGGTCATATCAACACAGCAATGCTACTTTACCACAGCACCCAGCCAGTAAGCATCACTGGGCCCAGTCACATCCCGAGGATAAACGTATGTACGTCCTGGCCCGAGTGCGATGTTGAACAGGCCCGCCATGATCTGTATGGTCTGTAAAGGATTCAGAACTATTAAATCTTATTGTCTCATACTTCACAATGTAAGACTATCACTTCATACTGCTCATAAATAAACACATTTCAGTTCCTCTCACCCCGAGAGCTGCAGTCACACTGGTCTACATCAGCCCCTTGTGCACTGAGCAGCATATCGGACTGTAGCAGAGAGTCTTGAGGATTTGACACAGCGGTGGTGACATGCTCTTCTCGTCAGTCGCCAAGGTGACCACAGTCACCCCCTTGTCTTTAACAACAGTGACGGACATCTCTCAAACCCTGAAACATGACATGGAGATTTTGAGATGGAAGGTTGGATAGATACAGCCAAGTGACACATAAATGAAGACATGAAAACAGAAACAGTCTAAACTAGAAATCAAACTAAAACTAAAAGGGCAGTGCTCTAAATATACACAATGATAGTGGCCGTCTGCTCATATGGAA